CTTGAGGGGCTTGTCTCAGACGAAGACAAAAGATTACCTGGACCAATCAGGGCTCCAAGGGGGTGTGACACCAGGAGGAGTCAAACCTAGGTGTGACCAATGAGGTTACAGAGGGGCAGAGTCTGGAGTCACAATAGCATTGATTAGATCAGCCAGGTGCTAGATAGCTGGGCTGGGAGTGTGCAGGGGTTCCCAGGTAGGGGACAAAAGACTACATATATCTTGATGGGATTTATCAGTGGTAAAACAATGTCACGCTGGAAACTTGGTGATGAGTTCCCAGGTCTGGACAAAAGGAACTGGAGGTTTCTTCTACATGCAACATAGAAGTTCAGGTCTGATTCTTGATTGCATCTATGGTGGTAAAAGGTTATGTGATTGTCCATTTGAACTAATCAAAAGAAAACAATACTGCTTGATGAACCACCTGGTCCTGGGTGGGGGAAAAGAGTAAAAGTCAAGACTTGTCATTGTCAAGGAGATGTGAGAAGGGAAGATGAGATTAGCGGTGGAGACTGAAAAGATGTTCCTCTGGAACAGGCAGGTCCATTGTCTGGACTATGCAGATGTTGGGGGGGGGGGAGTTGCAGCTGTCAGGACAAGATCTCATGTGCTTTTCCAGGGTCATATTCTAGGCATAATATTTGTCTGCCAGTCCTGGCCTCCATCTTTATGTTCACATATGTCACGCAGCCTGTTATTTGGACTCCTAGGGCAGCCTTGTGGGGTCCACTGATGGTTCAGAAGACCCTCCTGTTGGACCAGGGACAGGCATACTTATACAGGTTCAAGATGTCCCATGGGTGAGGCCTGATGTACACATGCTGTACTATGAGGTGGTAATGAAACAGTAGAATGGAGTGTATCATTTCAGACTGCAGATGGGGGGGGGGTTTCCAAGCTTTTTAACACTTTCCAATAGAAAACATTATTTGCAAGCAGAAAACTGGCATAGCAGGGTGTGGAATGGAATAGAACCATTATAGTCTAGGGCTTTTAATAAAAAATGCAGGGAGTTTTTACATGGGGTAATATTAAAAACACACACCAAAACCCCCGATCTTCTACAATAACTCAAAGTGGTATCTCCGTTCAACTAGCTTAATTTTCTTGTATATTTAAGCCAACCCTCAGACTCAGGGTACCTGCCCTCAGAAGCTACAGCTCCTCATAACATTTCTGAACACAAATGCGGCACTAATTAAATAACAGACTTTCTAAAGATAAGTGCCTACCACTAAAATGATACAATTAGTGCTAATGAATTGTTTTGCTCCCTAAAATGTACCCCACCTTGGAGGCCCATGTTGGGCACATTTAAAAGTGAGCGCTAAAATGAATATATGTTAAGAGATTAACTGAAGGTAATGAAAAGTCCAATTGCAACTTTGTTCTGCTTCAGATTTGTTTCAAAACGGTTGAAGGATTAGATATATTAAGGATTCAATTTGACTACTTAATGAATATTTAGGGCACTCAGCCGCTTCCCTGCTCAACCCGCTACAAATGCTTCATCTCATTAACTATTCAAGATTATGATAGCCTTAAACTGAAATGTGATAAATGTTACTAGATATACCAAAAATTCATCTTATATTACATGCTTGGAGTCTTTAATTACTTATCTGGTGGATGGGTAGCTTTGGGGAGGGTTCATTTAAAGGCAAATTTAAAACAGTGGAAGGCAGTTTCTCTCCCATGGTAGAAGAAAAAGATAAGATGCTACTAATATGGGTAAAAGATTAATGGTTATTTTATAAAACTGCCACAGGCAGTTTTATTTTTAGAATAAAGTCTCCAGCAACCTGCTCTGATGCATGTTTACTCAGAAGTAAACTGAATTACTGGGTACTTGCTCTTAAGTTACAACATACAGGATTCAGCCTTAGCCTGAACGTTTTTTCCATTAAAAATTTAAAAACTGTTTTCCCTTTAAAATAAGCAATGCCTGCTAGAACCTGTTTCTATTCTGAGGCATGTTTCAGAATTTCAAAAGCAAAACATAGTTATTATTGTTAATTAAGGTCCGCCTCCCCAAAAAAACTATGCGCTTTACAATAATAAAAATAGAGACAAACCATACAGGCTTCCTCTAACGAAGCGCTAGTTTGGGATTACGTGCTTCATAGTTCCTTCTTCCTTAATGCCTGATTCTCAAGCTTCATTTGGCCCGAACTGATCTGTCACCCCCATCAACCCAGCTCTGTTTAAGCCTGCAATCCAAGCAGTAATTTTCACACTGCGGGGTGGGTGGGTGATGGAATCAATTACGCAAAGTGAGAGGAATTATGCAGATTGGAATGATTCTTTAGGCTTCTTGCAGAATACAATTTGCCCAGGAGCAAAGTTTTTACTTGTTTATTTTATTTTTAGCACAGAGCACACAAAAATTAACATGAGTGCCATAATTAACCTAAGATACTGGGAAGCCAAATTTTACTGATGGCAAACCACCACCACCCATTCCGAGCTTCCCCTCTCAGGCAGGCCCATAGCTACTGTGGGGCATTTGGGGGCTCTGCCCCCCCCCCAAATGTGAGGCACGCCCTACAACAGCTGCTGCCCTTTAAATGGTGTTTTTCAAGCAGGGGCTGCCTGTGCCTGAACTGCAAGTGGCGAAATCACCGTTAATAGAGTTCAGGGAAGGCGTGTAGCCACCCCTCTCCCCCCCCCTGCTGCCCCACAAAATTTCCCGATGCCCCACCAATCCAAAATTTCTGGCTACAGGGCTGCTCTCAGGTAACCTTTTAAAATTTTCCTTAGCCCAAGGAGATGGAAGAGGAAGATAAAAACAACAGCACCAAGCAAGGAGCAAGGGATGAATGGGTGAGGGTACAAGAAAATACTCTTCCTCTTTGCTGAGCAGGGTAGTATACCTCTACAAGAAAAAGCCTTGAGTTTTTGTGAAAATACTGTAAGACTGATTTCCCTGTATATCTGATCAAGCTTGCACATATCAATCACCCTCCTGCATACAATAATGTCTTCCCAGCTCACATAAAGAGAATGTGAGAATTTTCTCTCTCTCGTAAAACAGGCAAAGAGAATCCACACTAAATCTGTAGCGCAGCTGCTTGATCTGAATTTCCTTCCTGTTACTATACAATTACGCAGTAGCCTGGCTAGCCTGAAGGGTTTCTACATTGTGCCCTGAAGCTTTCCAACAGATTTCAGTGGGCTCTTATTAGCAGCAAATTTTTAAAGCATTCAGTCTTTGCTGCCGGGCTAGGAAGTCAGAAAGCTTCAGACGAGGCAGCATGAAACAGCCTGGCAGGTCTCCCTCTCCGTAGTGAAGTATCAAAAACAGGGCAAATTTACACTGTAAGCTCTCTCTTAAGGGGGGGAAAATATGGGACTTAAATTGATAATTGCCAAATTAACAAAAACTAGGTTGAAAAGCACATTATCTTTTCATACTGGGTTCAAAGATGAGTTGCTACTGAAGACACTTGCATTAGCTTTGGCTGGAAAGAACATACTGTAATATAGAGCCAGGGTGGCATAGGTCTTACAGAGTTGACTTAGGACTTGGGGGATCTGCGTTCAAATTCCCACGCTGCCATGGAATCTTACTGAGTGAACTTGGGCCAACCTGTTTCTCTTAGTCCAACCTACCTTACATTATTGTTGTGATTGGGGTGGGGGAGACACACACGCACACCACTGAGCTACTTGAAGAGGGAAATGTAAATAAACAAATAGTGGCCAACTGATATTGTGCATGGTTTATCTCACAGCCTATCCTATCTCAGAGAGCTACCGTGACAACAAAAGTGGCAAGGAGTGTGGTGGAGTGGCCATCTATGCTGTCCTGACTTCACCATTTAGTTTAGATTCTCTATGCGTCTTTGAGAGAGAGAAATTCATGCATGCATGGGCGGATCCTTCCTTCAGTTGCAGTGGCTCAACATTTGGGGGAAGAGCCACTTCAATTGGAGGAAGCTTTAGACTTTGGTTAGCAGAGTGGTAGGATACAGGTGATCGTACTGTATTGAGTCACGCATGTGGGCTTGATCAGACAAGCCAAGTTTCCTTTTTTAAAAATTCTTCAGAGGATTAAAAGATTAATTAAGGCATCCAGTTGATATCTTACATACTTATTCTAAATGATAAGTAATGGTTCTGATGCAGCCAAAGAGGTGTTCTTTAAAGAATATTTGAGAAGAACAGAAAGGGCAGTCTGCAGAATTTGGTGGGGAAAAATCTAGACCCCTTTGCTGTGCTGCACCTGAGAATCAGAATAAGGTGCTCATAATTTTTGTCCAGTCCTGACTGCAAAGTTCATGAGGGCGCTTTCCAAAAAAAAGCAAAAGAGCCCAAAACCAGTTGTGATGTTCTTAGATACAGCAGTGGCTATAAACAACAGAGACTGCTGGGAGATGTAGCAGCACAGGACAGGAAGAAGGGTGGAGTTCTGGCCTGGGCGTAGGCGGCCTTACTAAATGATGCAACAGTTGCTCTGCCATCTCAAAACCTGCAAGAAACCTTGTCCGGAATCTAAACTGGACTCAGTTGCTTGACACATTAGGCCTGAGTTACCTTTAGTATTTTTCTTCCTCCACAGAGCTGAAGGTGGTGTTTGTGGTTCTCCACCCCTCCGTTCTGCCTCCACACCCAACAACACTGTGAGAGCAATTAAGCTGAAGGAAAGTGATTTGTCCAAGGTGACTAAATGAGCTTCTTGGCTAAGAAAGGGATTTGAACCTGGTTCTCCCACACTCAGCCTGGCACTGAGCACTACACCACACTGGCTCTTTCTTTATCCGCTAGTCAAACCACACAATTTAGGTTTCACAACCTCCCCAAAGGGCAGCATAAGAACTGCACTCGGCCATTTTCGTATTTTCATTGCTTCTGCTTCCACGGAAGTCAAATTGTTTATAAATTCCTGTATGCAACAGGAAAAAGACAGTATTTTTGCACAGCTTGGATAAGCTGGAGAGAGACTAGAAGAAAAAGTCAGTGTCATATGCCATCGTATTCCAAGATGCAACACATACCCAGAGCTTTCAGGATCATCCTCTTGGTCAGTCTCTCTGTATTGGTCAGGGTCGGGAAGGGTGCTTGGATCAAATTCATCATCACTGTCACTGCAGTCCAAAAAGGCCACTTCTTCCTCTTCATCCTGAGTACATAAAAGAGTTACAGAGTTAGATGTTTATATATTTCATTTTTAATCAAACTGTCTGTGGTAATGTAACATTCAGGGGTGGGTGAAAAGAAGCATCTTCCTCTGGTGCACCAGGAATTTCTCCGTCAACCAAAGGAAAAATGAAATCTTTTAATTCTCTTCTCGCACATCAACAGTTTAGAAATTCTACTATGGTCTGACATTAAGTCAAGGAGATAATTAAAAACAAACCAGAGAGTGAATTGTTTCGGTCAGTAAACCAAGAGACACGCGGGTGTTGATGGTAGTTTTGCCAAGAAACAAAAAAATACACTTGTATAAAAACACTCCTTCAGAATTGAAAACATTCACAAGCATTGCTTATAACTCAGATTATTAGAAATTCCACTTCGGTAGACTGTGCATTTGTCTTAAATGTGTAAGGATAACTTATCTGAAATGGAGGGGAAGGGAGGAAGAAGGGACTGAGGGAAATGTTTGGGCACTGTGAGCTCAGGAACCACGGGGTCACAGCGGTGCCAGCTTCAAACTGGGAGGACTCCTCTATATTTCTAAATAATTATACCAAAGTGACAACTCTGCCAGTTGGGACGTCAGTCATCACCACAGCATTATTACCAAACTACTACAGTGGTGAGGGCCAAGAGGTAATGGAATGGAGCAGGATAGTGAATTGCATGTGCTGATTTAAATCAGCCCGCCAGTCCTTTGGCTGCAGTCTTCTCTATGCAAGTCCCACCTTTCCATCCTATTCTCCCAACACCATCACATTCCATGGCCAGAGCGGAAGCTTGACTGGACTGGATCGAGGGCCAATGGACAGGAACAGGATTGACAGGAACAGTGATCAGAATTAAACCTGTTTTGACAGTGTCCTTGAGAACACCCCACCCCATTGTTTTTTTTCTTTAAATGTAAACGGCTGCCATTCATTTCTGTAGAGGGAAAGCAAAGGCAGTATTGCACTGGAAGCAAAACCTCCCCATCATCCATGGCCAACTGCAGTGAATGAACATCTACTGAGATTGGGGGAGGGAGAGTGGCGAAGAAAGAGTGCCATGTGTGTGCAGACTACACTAAGACAGATTGCATCCTCCAAACCCGCACACCGTAATGATGTACAGTTTGCTAATGTACAGTAATGTTCAACTTTTCCCTGCAAGTATCACTGTGTCAAGGAGAGAAACAATTTTTGCAACAATTATCTCTTTTCCAGTGGCCTTCAACATTCTCCCTTCCTTTAGCCCCTTTTTTCAAAACCAAAAGTGAGCACTGCTCTTAAGACACACAAAAAACACTTCAGCAATAAAGTAAAATTTGTGCTTTCCCAGTAAAGCTCCAGTGTTGACCTTTGGAGATGCAGAGAGCACATGATGGAAAATATGGCTTACACACCCCTGCAGACTCCCTTATCGCTTCCCAGTGAAACTCTCTTGCAGTATTTAAAAGGTCATGGAAAAACAATGAGAAAAGTAGAAACAAAATCAGGTTTGCTATGAAAAGGCCTTATAAAGCCAGTGACAAGGTTGGAACATTTTTTTCCTAACATATACTAACTCTTTATAAACCACAGACCAGAATTATCAATAAAGCTAAGACCGGATTTACAACCACTGCAAACTATCAATTGAAAAAATAACCACAAAAAAGAACTTGTTTGAAAATCTAAAGGGAGTTTCAAAGATACATTTATTCCTGCGGTTCTTTTGCAGAGTTCAGGCAAATGCCACCACTTTTTTTGTTATCTTGCTTCTGGTTGCCACACCAATGAAAAGCAGGGTTGGCATCCAGTGGTCCAGTAACCGGAAGGCTGATTTGGTATTGCAATTAAATGACTGAAACACCACAAAGGAAACTCATGTGGGTGGGGGGATCCCAATGGCAACAATGGAATTAAATGACTGAAACACCACAAAGGAAAGATGCCAAATAAATGCACACTACAAATAATTTAAGGAACTAGATACTGGCTGGTCCCGTATGAACACCATCCTATATGGAGAGATGTTTTAGACAAATTGTCTCCCTAACACATTACGGCTGTATGTAATACACCCTGGCAGACCAGACTGCCACCCTTAAATCTAGTTGACAATTTATATGTACAAGTGGGGATGTGTGAGACTCATGTGAGTGGGGAGATCTCAATGGCAACAATGTCCAGCTGCTGCACTGTTGGCTCAATCTCGTGTACCTTTCCCACCACCACTCTGCCTGCCTGCCTGCCTGCCCACTCACTTGCTCAGCCTCAGCTCCGCTGCCTCCATGACCCTAGCTGATGCAATCGTGGTGGCTCAGGCTCCTGCCCCTCCCCCCTCAAACTCCTGGGAGGGGAAATTTGCTCACCCAAACCCTCCCCTGCCTCTGCCTGCCACCTGCAGTTCTACTTAGCCCCCTGTCGTTTCCCCCATCCATCTGCCTCACTGTTGGCTCAATCTCGTGTCCCTTCCCCACCACCACTCTGCCTGCCTGCCTGCCTGCCCACTCACTTGCTCAGCCTCAGCTCCGCTGCCTCCATGACCCTAGCTGATGCAATCGTGGTGGCTCAGGCTCCTGCCCCTCCCCCCTCAAACTCCTGGGAGGGGGAATTTGCTCACCCAACCCCTTCCCTGCCTCCGCCCGCCACCTGCAGTTCTGCCTAGCCCCCTGCCGTTGCCCCCATCCATCTGCCTTTTCACCACTCTGCCCACCAGTCTTCCTCCCTGTCACTCCGCAGTGTGGCTCTTGCCTTCCTCTTCCTATCTGGCTCAAGTGTCCACTTTCTCTTCTCTGACATCTCTGATATGTGGTGAGGAAGGTGGATGCTGCAAGAGTGACGTCTGTGCAAGGAGTGATAATGTTTCTCAGTTTGGGGGGAAATCGCCATTTGTGTCATATTTTTCTGCAAACCTGGGGGGAAACTCCAAATTTGCAGAAACACCCTGTTTCTCTTTTCATGGCCCTGGTCTGTAGATTTAAGTATCCTTTTGCTTGAAGTTTTCTTCTTTAAGCCAACCATTTCCCACTTTCTGTTTTGCTTGTAATGAAAACCCAGGCTTGCTCTCTCTTAAAAATATTCTGGCTTTAAATATTCAAACAGCAAATGATTACTAGTATAGTCAATGTTCTTTGTTACATTCTTATTCTATCTACTTTTCTAGAACCCCAAAGTGGTACAAATGGTTCACACACACTACCATTTTATTAGGGTGACTAGAGTGACAGCAAGTGGTTGGCCCAAATTCACAGAGCAAGCTTCACCACTGAGTGGGATTATTGAGCAAACCACAGCAGACTGGGATGAAGTGGAGAGGAGAACCAGAGTGCATACCTAGTAGATGCTCTGTAGGCCTATTTTATCCTTTTGCTTGAAGTTTTCTTCTTTAAGCCAACCATTTCCCACTTTCTCTTTTGCTTGTAATGAAAACCCAGGCTCCCTCTCTTTTAAAAAAAACACTCTTGTTGCTTTAAATATTCAAGTAGCAACAATACTGCTGCTTATCCTCATCCCCAAAGCCTACAAATATGTAAATTCACTCCATCTTCCCACAATCATCAAATTTTAGATTGCAAGATTCTTGGGGTCCTGACTTTTATGTCTATAAAATTATGTAAAACAACATGTATCAAGATGGTGCTGTAATATACCACAGCACCTAATAATGCTCCTACAATCTATTAGTACAATACTGATAACCATGGCTAACTAACAGGACGATCCTTAACAGAGTGGAATGGTCAGACTAGGACTGGGGAATCCTAACTTCAAAGTGCCACTTGGACATGGAGGTTTGCCAGGTGACTCTGGGCCAGTCCCAACGTCATCAATCTCATTGGGTTTTTCTTGCAAGAATAAAATGGAGGAAGGGGAGGGGAAATGATGCTATAAACCACTTTGGGTCCCTATTACGTGAAAAACGAGGTTCAAGTATCTCAAATAAAAAATACACAAAAGCAGGGGTGTGTGTTTTTTTTAAAAAAAAAGGTTTGTCTTTTGCACTTCATAAAGAAGTCTGGGGAGATGACAGAACAAAACTGGTGAGCAGAAGACATGAGGGCAAAAATATCTTGTTTCAACAGTGAAAAACTCCAGAGTTTAAATCTTGCGCACACCCCCAACATTATACAAAATGTACTTGACGTGTCAACAATCTCCCATCTCACACACGCTTTCATCACATTCAGGTTTACAGAAGTCACGGCTGTCAACCCATGTACAAAAAATAATTCTCAAAAGCAGTCTTGTGTTCAAACATTTCAACACGTTGGCCTTCTTCAGGGAGTTCAACAGACGCCCGTTGGGGAAATACGTACACAAGAGAAATTGGTTTATATAACTTTATGTAAGTTCTCTATAACTTTGCTTATATTGTTGCCAGGAGGGAGAAAAATCTAAAGCCAGAAGATGGCTGTAGTTTTTCTTCTTCATGTGCTAAAATAACCAGTTAAGGAATATTGTCAAACAGAAGTTGGGACTGGCTACTTCAGAGGAGCCCAAAGCCCTGCACTAACCCACTAGATTAAAATAACAAAAACCTTTTCTCCCATGACCAATGTTCCCTCTAGGCTGTGGAGTCTTGTGAGGAAAAATTCTCCCTGGTGAGCTACCGGCCTTAAAGTTGTGAGCGAGCGATTCGACTACCGCATAAATTAGTTTGCTCTGGAGCCGTCCTTCCTGAGCTGAGACAAAAAAAGTGTGAGCCGGAGGCTAAAAAACTGTGAGCTGGCTCACACCAGCTCAGCTTAGAGGGAACACTGCCCATGACCAATGAATCTCCTGATAAACTGCTTTTGAAACCCTACTCAAAAGTTGATCATCAGGCTACAATGGCGGGGCAGGGGGGAGGCTGGTTCAAGAAACACAAGCTCAAAGTTCCTTTTGAATCCAAACATTCATGCGACCTAAGCCATGTGAGAATTTGAACTGTAGTTATGAGCCGCTCTCATCACGCATCATAGTGCACACAGTACAAGCTATCTGCATACACGTGGTTTCTCTTAGCTCGTGCGAGTTA